CTTTAAATAAATGAGCTGAAGGTATTTAAAATTCTGCATTAGCTTTAGGGAGGAAAACAAGTGGGAAAAACAAGGGGCTGCATATAGCTTGTAAACTTGAGAAGCACAATAATGCCTAATAATCACCATGATAATCTGCATGATGTTTGGCGAATTTATTTAACACAGTATTTTTTAATTATTTCTTAAAGACGTGGAAATTTCAGTTTCTAAATAAGCATGCATACTTTCATAACATATATCTGCAACCATTATTTGATCTAATCATGATTTTTTTGCGGATAGTTTCCAGATCCTTATTCATAACAGTTTCTAAATTGTTATATCGCCACATTAAAAAATACAATTTATAGTAAATACTTTTTTTGAACCATACTGTATAAAGTAATTAATCTGTGGTGGTTGTTGCTGTGGTAATACAACTAGTAACAATAAATTACGCATTACTTTTTTAAAGAGATAGTTCACCCAAAATGAAACAAAAATACTCATCATTTACTTACCCTCAAGTGGTTCCAAACCTTCATGAGTTTCTTTTCTTGTTGAAAACAAAATAATATATTTTGAATAAAGTTTAATAATTTAATCCATATGAAAAACAAATACTATAAAAGTCAATGGTTACAGATTTCCAACATTTTTCTAAATATCTTCTTTTCTGTTAAACAGGATAAAATGTTGTTTCTTTCTCCTGTTGCAAACAAGTGGATAGTTAGTAAATTGTGACTTTTAAAAAATTATTTTAGGTTGAACTATCCATTTAAGTTTTCTACAACTATACGGTACATGGCGACTCTGTGGCGCAGTGGGTAGCACAATCCCCTCAAAGCTAGAAGGCGGCTGGTTCGAGCCCCAACTGGGTCAATTGGCATTTCTGCGCGGAGTTTACATGTTCTCTCCGGGTGCTCTGGTTTCCCCAACAGTCCAAAGACATGCAGTACAGGTGAATTGAAAAAACTAAAATTGGCTGTAGTGTGTGTGTTTGAATCAGTGAGTACTGGGTTGCAGCTGAAAAGGCATCTGCTGCGTAAAACATTTGCTGGATAAGTTGGTGGTACATTCTGCTGTGATGACCCCTGATAAATAAAAGGACTAAGCCAAAAAGAAAATGAATAGATATATGATTATACTACAAAACACCCGTTTACTGAAGTAAAAATAAGAGTTTACTACCGCATGTATTAGTTTATCAGTTTATTATAGTTAGTGTGCTGTAGCATTCATCAACAAAGTGTTATATTTTTTTAAACACCCTAGTATTGAACTACAAAAATAGTTTTTTTTTTTTTTTGATGTGAATAGATGGTTTGTAAATTCATAAGACTTGAAAGTAACTAGGTAGGCGAAAGTAATGAACAGGTCAATCTTTACATAAATTTTTTTTTTTTTAAACAAGTTGGTCAAATTTAAAATCAGTTTATTATTTTTTTTTTTAAATATGAAGCTTCTCTTACAAATGAACCAAAAGGTTGCCAAATAATCAGGGGCAGATCTAGTGATTTGGGGGCCCTAAGCATTTCCAGCCAAGGGGTCCAAAAGTTCTAAAACACACTTTTTGCATTTAATTATTATTATTTTGGTGTTTTTTTCTTATAGCATTTGATCTCATTTTCTACATTTAATCTAAATGCAAAATAATAATAACATGTGAAGCACCTTGGAAAACTTTTGAAATGATTAGTTTTCTTAAGTTGAATTCACAACTAAACATAATAAATGAACTGTTTTGTTTTTAAAACTAAATCTTTAATGATTAGACTGCTGGACCGCTCTATGTTTGAAGGTGGGGGACACATTTATGCAGATATAATAATTCCATTTAAATCTAAATTTTTAGACCCTCAACGTACACAATATGATAGAAAAGGATGTTCCATATAGTTTAATTTATCATTTATACTTCTAGGTATTTATTTGGGGCCCTCAGAGTTTCTGGGACCCTAAGCGGAAACTGACCTAGCTTATTGGTTAAATCCGCCCCTGCTAATAATGCTGATAATGATATCATATTTTCAACAAATTCATTAACTTCAAAACATAAGAAAATAAATAAAACTTGGGGAAATGTCCAATTCAGGCCTCTCACAGTCATTGATAAATCATCTTTTTGGTTCTTTGATCTAACTAAATATTTGAGATTACTGTAAAAATTGTGCGTTGCAAATTTCAAGAGGAATTCTCCATTTTTGAATCTGTAGATCTGAATGTTGCCTTTTACAAATGGATAAACATAGTTTTGTGTTAAATAGAAGAGGAAACCATAAAGTTCAGAATTAATTTATTTATTGTGCAAAAACGCGTGTGCATTTAGGCTACAATTGCCTATTCACAAAAGTTTTTTTTTTTTTGCCTGTCAACAACTGTCTCTCAAACCCAGGTCCTTTCTCTGATTACTTTGTTTTCACATACTAAAACTGAGCACCCTCCGCCTCCTTGTAAGCAAAGTAAACAGTAACAGGTCCTGCAGAGGTCTGAACAGTCTCTGTCACGCCAACCACCATCCATGAGCCCAATCCATACGCCAAGCATGGAATACCTTAAAAAAGAGAGAGAAAATCATAATACAAATACATCTGCTGTACTGTCAGAAACAGAACGTCTCTAAACAATATCCGAACTGACCTAAATTGATGACTTTCAGAGCTCCGAAAAACGTATTCTCAAACTGCAGGTTCTGTGGAGGTGCTTTGGTGCAGTGGTATTTGATGAAGGGGAAAGCCCCAGTCCTGAGGATGTGGTAGTTCGTGCCCTGCACCTGCCAGTTGAAGTTGGACAGGCCGAACTGGTCGTTGATGACGTCACGGTAGCGCACGCAGAATGATGTCCAGGGCGGGAGCGCGCGCTGCGTCAGGTGGCAGGTCAACACTTCAGAAGCTGAGGGACGAACAGCTTTATTTCGAAATGTACTGGGGAACAGGGCCACTTTTAGAAAGCAGCCGTGGACCCTGCGAAGAATATCTGTCATTTCCGAGTAACGTTACGTTAAACTGCAGGTTTCAAATGTATGTAAAGCGTTTCAAGAGTAACGTTAAGGGTTGGTCACGTCATTATTTCGCATGCAAACATACATTAAACACTACAAGAGGTAAGCCATGTGAAATAAAGCGCACAAACCTAAACAAACAGAATCCCTGAAATATTTACAAACTGCACATTTATTTACTGCTATTGCATCTCTGCTTTCGCGAAGACGGTCCGGCTGTCAGATGTTACACAACTTACCGGAGCGGATTTTCACACTTACACACGTTTACATTAATTTACTACTTTGTTGTTTCTACGAACGAGACAAATAATGCGCTACTTGTACCCAAGAAATATAAGAGACGAGCCGCATAACCTTCCCTGGTACGGTTAATATATTCTCCGGGAGGAAACAAGGAAGACTTTTCGTTTGTTCCCATCTACATACAGTACTGCAGCATGTAGGCTACGGTAGTATGGATCTTCATTCTCATGCAATCCTGCATACACTTTCCAGAAATTTAATTGCATATAAAATAAGATAATATATTGATAAATATCAGGATATACTAATTGTTTACTGATAGTGAGTATATGTTGGTCAATCTACATTTAAATAGTTTTCAAAGCTAGTGCACCCCAAAACTGCACATTTACAGTACAATTTCTTATATATTTATCAAATACAAAATGAGTTTCACTTGATCATTTAAGGTTTTCTGTTCATTATAATTAACAAATCTGTAATTTAATGAGTGAATACCAATGTGCACTGAAATGTAGTAAATACCTATTTTAAAACAGATTGTTTGAGTGGTTATAATTTCCATAGGCATTTAAATAAGAGTGTTTTTATGGTAACACCCAAGAAGAAACCCAAGAACAGATAAATTCACAGAAACTTTACCAAAAAAGTAAACATTTATTTATGGTTTTCCTAAAATAACAGATAAATCCACAAACAACGTAAACTTTTATTTATATCCATGTAATTTGAATTAACAAACATGATTGATCCAATGTGTGAAAATCAATGTACATTTTTTTAAAAGTATTAAACTGAAGATTTTTGATTGTTTACTATTTAAGGTTGCATTTAAAGAAGAATTGAAGTATAATGCCTAAAGTTTGTGTTTGTGTGTGTTTGTGTATTTGTGCAGTAGGGCTGCACAATATATAGTTTCAGCATCGATATCACAATATGATCATCTGCAGTAGTAAGGTAAATGCAACGTTAAGTTTGTATTATAATTTATCATTTGCATGTGTTTTTGATGCCTGTGATTGTATAATGGTTTTAAAAGCAGTAATAAGAAATTGTACAATTTTTTACTTTAACTACGATTAATCTAATTTAATTATTTATTCGAATTCAGTTACTGTACTTGAATACTGTTAAACTGGGGAAACACTTTCATTCAATTGTATCTTTTTCTTGATTGTATTTATAAATTGTTATGCATGAAAATACTCACAACATGTCCAAATACAGAAATGCACTGCAAATAGCACAGAACAAAATGAAAATGTGCTGGGGCCCCCAAAAGCCTATAGATTGTTTATTAAATTGTATGGAGATGCAAACAGTAAACATTAATTTAGCAATCTCTGACTAAACATGTGCATGAAAATACTCACAACACATTCGAATACAGAAATGCACTGCTAATAGTACAGACAACAAAGAAAATGTATCGGGGGACCCTAAAAATGTTAAAGATTGTTTTTTAGATTTTATGGAGATGCACTCCCACTGCATAATCTTGCCTATCCGTCTAACATTATAAATTCTTTTCAAACAGAGATATTAAGTCATCTGGTGAAATTGTATTCACACAGTAACGCAATCGCAATGTTAAATGTTTCCAATATTGTGCAATCTGTAATTTTAATTTCCTCAAGAAATGTGTTGTTTTGTGTTTTGATGTTCATTAACACATAAATAAAGTTGATTTTTAAACTGTGATAACTTTTTCATGTACTGCTGGAAAACACATGCATCTTGTGTTGTCTTAGTTTAGCAAAATCATCTGCTGAATTCATATGCATGTATAATTATGATTAAAGTTGCACAGTCATTTTATTGAATCAGGCCCGGCGCCAGGATGTTATAACTGAGGGGGCATTTTAATCCCATAGGGGGGCACTAGACCTGGTGAATGATTTTGGTCCCCCCTTGTTCCTTTCATTTGCGCTATACAGTATATTCATATATCTATTATTACTTTGCATTACTGCCTAAGTTACTGACTTAAGGCAGTAATATAGTTTTTATAGTAATAATAATAATATGTGCAGTTTCGCTATAATTAATTTTATTAATAAAGGTAATGCAATGATGTTGTTTATTAATGCAGACAGACATGGCATCAGAGCCAAAGGAGTGCTTTAAATTGTATTTTATTCTCCTTTTTTCTTTTGGTTTTCTTCCCAAACAGTTTAAATGTTTAAAGTTTTAGGTAAAAACTTCAAACTTTGACAACACATGCAAGCTAACCCACTATTCGTATAACCAGTAAATAAATAGGGAAAGCTGCATAACCGAGTCATCAAGCTTCACGTTGCCTATTGCTTAACTAATCATCTATCAGAGTTAGGAAAAATATAAATGTTACAATCTAATGTCATAAAAAATATATTAGCTGAATGTGTCACTTACTTACATTAAGGCATTAGTTTAGCCAGAAAAACACAGAAAAGTCCCCCTAAATTCACAGATATTACCGTGGAAATTAGTTACATTTTAAACGCAAAAGGCATTTTTAAGTGTCCTAACTTGAGACTGCTGCTGCTTAATTATTTTCACACTGTAAAATTGGCTTTAGCAATTTCATAATAAACAAAAACATTCAAAATATTTCTGCGTTTTGTCAATTTTATAGGTTCATATTAATATTAATGAATATAATAATAATAATAGTGTAGATTACTGTGGAAATTTTCAGTTTTAAGTAAACAAATTCTTTCTGAGAGGGCAATGCCCCCTTTTGCCCCTCCCCCTCGTAGCACCGCACCTGTGTTGAATGTTAATGTACTGTCTTTGACTGCATATTTATATCATCTGTACTCATAAATAACTAAGATTTCCTAAAAGGCAGATGTGACTTAAATGTTATTATCCAAGGTCTTATTGTTCATCTTCATAGAGCGGGAAGAGGCACAATAGATTTAGATCACTATAGTTTGGCCTAAAAAAAGGCCATGGACAAATCAATGTGCAAGTGTGTTTCTCCTTTTAATTTTACTACATGTTAACCACATTTCCGCTTTAACTGAGTTTTATGTCTATATTATATTTAAAGGCTTGGTGAAAGCAATTATAACTCAAGGTGTAAACGCTATTGTAGGATTGGCTTTGTACGTTGACTCATTTTGTGTTGATGTAGTTTATGAGTTGATAACCAATCGCTTCCGACTCCAGTAATCTCCTTTTCTTCTTGAGATGCGGTTTGACTTTGTATGGTCATGCCCAAGACCTCTTCAATGTCCTTGATAAGCTCCTTATAAAAGCAAACAATAGCAGGCATTCAGTGTATGTCTGACTACACATCCCAAACTTGTAACTATTAAACGGTGAATAAGAATTCCTCTATCAAATCAAGTAATGATGTGTGTTGAATGGAGCAGTTCAGCGAGTCATTGAATCTCCAGTACACTCACAGTGTATGACAATACCCACACGACTTCAACTGCAGTTAATGTGGCCAGACATAAAGCCTTGAATTTAATAACTGACTACCTTGTGTATTGTAAAGGTTTTATTATGACACATTTTCTGAAAATGGGTGCTCAAGCAAAATATGTCCAAATTCACTTGGTGTAATGCGAGGAATTATAAACGTGATAAAAATATAAACATAGTTATTATTCTGACAATAATAATTGATTTGGAGTACCATGTTTAGATAAGATTGTGATAAACAATTGCATGTGAACTGGCAGTGAACCCATGTTTGAGTACACATATATGGGTACAGCATGTATTGTCAAAGGTTACATGCTGCCGATTGTTGTGTCAAAATTCAATTTGACTTGGATAATGAAAAATGCCCACATTAAATAGAACAGCCTTGAAGACTGCGAAGCATGAAGTTGATTATTATGATTAGCATTACATTGAGGTTTTGGAGCAACTCCTTTTCTGAGTAAATGGTACATACTGCTGTGTTGTGGATATACAGTGGGTGAGGAAAGTATTCAGACCCCCTAACATTTTTCATTCTTTGTTATATTGCAGCCATATGCTAAAATTATTTATATATTCTAATAATATATATATATATATATATATATATATATATATATATATATATATGAATATTTTATATTCATATTTTTCTCAATGTACACACAGCATCCCATATTGACATTAAAACATAGAATTGTTGACATTTTTGCAGATTTATTAAAAAGAAAAACTGAAATATCACATGGTCCTAAGTATTCAATGACGCCCGTGTATTTAACTCAGGTGCTGTCCATTTCTTCTGATTCTCATTAAGATTGTTCTACACCTTCATTTGAGTCCAGCTGTGTTTGATTATACTGATTGGGCTTGATTAGGAAAGCCACACACCTGTCTCTTTAAGACCTTACACAATGCTGCTCACAATGCATGTCAGAGCAAATGAGAATCATGAGGTCAAAGGAACTGCACGAAGAGCTCAGAGACAGAATTGTGGCAAGGCACAGATCAGGCCAAGGTTACACAAAAACAATTCTGCTGCTCTTAAGGTTCCTAAGAGCACAGTGGCCTCCATAACCCTTAAATGGAAGGCATTTGGGACGACCACAACCCTTCCAAACTGAATTACTGAGGGAGAAAAGCCTTGTGAGAGAGCGAAAGGAGAACCCAAAGATCACTATGGCTGAGCTCCAGAGATGTAGTCAGGAGATGGGAAAAAATTGTAGAAAGTCAATTATTACTGCAGCCCTCCACCAGAGTGGCCCAACACATGAAAGCCCGCATGGTTTACACATGAAGGACGACAAGATGGTGTGAAATAAGATTCTCTGGTATTATGAGGCCAAGATAGAATGTTTTGGCCTTTAATCCAAGTGGTGTGTGTGGAGAGAAACAGGCACTGCTCATCACCTGTCCAATACAGTCTCAACAGTGAAGCATGGGGGAAGCATGCAGACAAGTACAGGGATATCCTGGATGAAAACCTTCTCCAGAGTGCTCAGGACTTCAGATTGGGCTGAAAGATTAAATTCCAACAAGACAATAACCCTAAGCACACAGCTAAAATAACGTGCTAAAAAGTGGCTTCACAACTTTGTGTCTGTTCTTAAATGGCCCAGCCAGAGCCCAGACTTAAACCCAATTGACCATGTCTGGAGAGACCTAAAAACGGCTGACCACCAACATTTACCATCCAAACGGACAGAACTGGAGAGGATCTGCAAGGAGGAATGGCAGAGGACCCCCAAATTCAGGTGTGCAAAACTTGCTGCATCTTTCCCAAAGACTCATGGGTGTATTAGATCAAAAGGGTGCTTCTACTAAACACTGAGCAAAGGGTCTAAACACTTAGGAACATGTGATATTTCCGTTTTTCTTTTTTAATAGATATGAAAAAAATGTCAACAATTCTGTGTTTTTCTGTCAATATGGGGTGCTGTGTGTACATTTAGGTAAAACATTAACTTAAATGATTTGAGCAAATGGCTGCAATATAACAAAGAGTGAAACATTTATAGGGGGTCTGAATACTTTCCGTACCCACTGCATTTATATTTATTATAGTTATAAAAGATCAGTCTTTGGAGCAGAATTTAACTAGCCTCACTGGATAAGAACAGAAGATGAAATTAATTAAGTACAGTAGGTTGATGGAACGATCATCTTCTGCAGATACTTGCAATATTGACAAATGGTAATGAACTGAACTTAATCAACATAAAACTGACTCAAGCTAGAAACAAACTTTGTTGTCCTTTATAGAATTGCTTGTACTTGACTTGAACGCATATCAGGAATTTCACACATTTGATTTAACAAGGTATATCAAAGCAGAATCTGATTTGTTTGCATAATTTCCTTAATGATACGAGTTTGACAAAGCCATGTACTGCAAATTAATTTAAGCTTCTTGTTTTTCTTTCTTATGACTACAACTTTTAAAATATAGGTGTATTAGTAGTAGTAGCAGTACCTCAGTGTCAAGCTTTGTTATCATACTTTATTTCTACATTTGATTCAGCTATTTTTCAGTTTTTCTCTGTGAAGCTGTATTTATGCAATCAATTGTATTTATACAGTATGTGACCCTGAACCAAAATACCTGGTTTACATGGTCATAGATGCACATATTCTGAAAGTTGCATAAATAAGCAAAATGATGACACTAATGTAAGGTTTAATAGGATATGACAATATTTGGTTTGTTATACAATATTTGGAATTGTTTGAAAACCTGTCATCAAAATACTAAGAAATTCTCCTTTAAAGTTATCCAAATTGAGTTCTTAGTCATGCATAATAATATTCAAAAACTGAATTTTAATATATTTACAGTAGGAAATTTACAAAATGTCTTCATGGATTGTATTTTTATTTATTTAATATTTTAATGATTTTTGGCATGAAAGAAAAATCTATAATTTTGGCCAATAAAATTTATTTTTTTGATATTGCCAAAAATATACTTGTGCAACATAAGACTGATTTGTGATCCATGGTCACAGTCACAAAGGTGACTGCACTTGTAAAAAACTAATTTATATATATTTATTTATTTATCTTTTAATAGCCAAACATCCACTGAATTAAACTGCTGTAAAAATGCATCAGATAAAAATTTTTTCAGTCCTGATCAAAACCACTAAATGTTTTTAAAAGTTACAGGATTTTAACTCTTTAATTGCCAAGTTAACAAATTATGTCACAGATTTGGTGAAAAAACACACAAAATATATTTTTTTTTAACATAAAAATAAATTGTAGACTAGATTGTTTTTACTTTTTATCACAGTTTTTGACATGTGAATGATTAGTAACAACATTGGCTTTGATTCGTTGTTAGATTTTCATTTTTTCTCCCTAATTTACTGTCGGTGGCTGTTTTTGCCCCATTGACTTACATTATAACCACATTTAATGGTGCATAAATACAGTCTTTGTTTTACTCTTTGTAGTTCTGAAAACTGAGATGCATATTTTGATTTTTTCAGACACATCAAGGTAAGTGTGCAAAGGTCGCTCTCACACACATACACACACTTTATTTTGCTGTTTTACTCCATATAAAATCCAGAGTATAAAACTTTTTTTTTTTTGCACAGGCTAAATCGCTAAATCTAAAGGGTTAATGGTGCTAACAGATGATCAACAAAAGAAATGACAAATTGTATCTCTTCCCAACAGTCAATCAAAAATGCATGATTATATAGTGTCATGTTTTTTTTTTTTGTTTTTATAAAAATATTTGATTATAATGGAAGCCAATTGGGCAAAAACAGTGAGTAAAGGGAGGAAAAAAATGTAATCGATCAAAAACAATTCATCAAAAGCAATGTTGTTTTACACGTCTAAGACTTTGATAAAAGATTTTTAAAAATCCAGTCCACAACTACTTTTTATATTGAAAATGCATAATTTTGTGTGTTTCATCCCTAACATAACAAAAGTGTAGTAAATTTGCTCAGAGTGTATCACTAGGTTTTTTTTTTTTTTTTCCCTTTAAATCATTTTCTCAAAATATTTCAAAATAAGATTCGTCATCCAAAATAATTCTGCTAGCTGAAAAATGTATTTCCAAATTAAGACTCAAAACCCCTAACAGTACATAAGGCTTAATAAAATCAAGTTTTGTTTTATAAGCAATTTTTCCAGTGCGTTGACATTGATACCCCTGATGTACACTATTGATTTAAACTGAATCAACACTAAACTGACTCATTCTGAACAATGATACTATTGTACTTAAGAGCATTGTTTTCTGTTTAGATACTACTTTGACAATCTTTGAAAAAGTAGCTTAAGAAAACACCCACATACCTTAAAATTGCTTGCCCCCTGCATATTTGGAGCTGATATTTCCTGATGAATGATTGACAGGTTGCGAGCAAAGGTCAGCAACGCTCCCTGGAGATTCTCCGAGATTGTTCTGTTAACGACACGGAGAAACAAACGAGCTTACTAATGATCCCCCAGAACCATCATCAGAGAAAAACAAAAAAACAATCACCTTGTTTGGCTGTGGGGCTGTAAGGAGCTTAATGAGAACTCTCAGCCTTAAAGAGTGTGCTATTCTTCAGGGAGAAATGAGGAGGGAAAGCAGGGCTTGGATGGGATAGGTATAGGATTTATGTGATGAATGCCTTTAATTCGACTTGGCAGTATGTTTTGCACTGACACATTTCGGTTAAGGTATTCGCTACATAATGTTTAATCTGCTCTTTGGGAGTTTGCTCAAGGTCTAGATATAGCTCTAATGGAAATGGGGACGCAGAAAGGAAAAACAGAGCTGGAGAAAGATAAGGGTAATGCATCTGCTTTGTTTATTGTGGGAACTCACAGCATGCCGAGACTTCTTCTGTATCTGCTGTCATGGAGGGCAAACACAGTGCCTTGCCTTGCCTGAAACATAAAAAAAGAAAACACTTATTCTGGAATCAAAGAACTTGGGTTATATTACTGGGAAGCAAGCAAAGGTTTACCTTGACATCATAGCCTATGCCCTGCGCTTTGCACATCAGGAAAAACGTGCTATAGTATACTAAAGGCAGATTGGTGTGAAGAAGCCGGGTGCACATCACTGCAAATCGACTGGTCACTGAGGTTTCCTGAGGAGAGCATATAAACACAGAGTCAAAAGGGTGTTATTTCAGAATTTTCACATACTTCTCATCAATGTGTGAGCAACTTACTACAAAAAACAAAAAACAAGACAATCTTTTAGACGCATTCATTCATTTTCCTTCTACTTAGTTCTTTTATTTATCAGTGGTCAAACCACCAACTTATCCAGCATATGTTTTACACAGAGGATGGCCTTCCAGCTGCATCCCAGTACTGGGAAACACCCATACACTCTCACATACACATCCATACACTATGGTCAATTTAGTTTATGTTCACCTATACAGCATGTCTTTGTGTCTGTGGGGGAAAGCGGAGCACCTAGAGGAAACCCAAACAAACATGGGTAAAACATGCAAACTCCACACAGAAATGCCAAATGGCCAGCTAGGACTCGAACCAGCAACCTTCTTGGTGTGAGCCACCAAGTCACCCCTTTTAGGTGCAATGTTTTTGTAAAATTTGTAAAAAACAAACTGTTATATTTGTAATTTTTTCATCTGTCGATATTAACAGATAAAAAAAAATAATTCTACATAGTTCAACTATGTTCAACATACCCATATTACTATGATCAGATGCTTTCCTTACTGTTTTCTTAACTGCTGTGATTTTTCTATTTATTTATTTATTATAATTTATAAATGTTTAATAAATCACTTAATTATTACTTCTAAAATGTATTTGTTTTTAAATGGATGCGGCACACATTTACATATACTTTTTAAGCATTGCTCTAAGTGTCTAAGTGCATTTAGGATATTTGTTACCAGCATGCTGTATCGTTTCAAAAGGTATCGAAAGGTATTTCCTCACAGCCTCACAGCAAGAAGGTTGCTGGTTCGAGTCATAGCTGAGCCAGTTGGCATTTGTGTGTGGAGTTTGCATGCTCTTCCCATGTTTGTGTGAGTTTCCTTTGGGTGCTCCGGTTTCCCCCACAGTCTGAAGAAATGCGCTATAAGTCAATTAGAGAAACTAAATTGGCCGTAGTGTACAAGGGTTGCGGTTGGAAGGGCATCTGTTCCATAAAAAACATATGCTGGAATAGTTGGCAGTTCATTCTGCTGTGGCGACCACTGATAAATAAGGGACTAAGCTGAAGGAAAAGGAATCAATGAATATTTAAAAAATATATACATATATTTTTGCATCTCTTCAACCAAAAAAAAACTGTAACCAAAATATAGTATTCAGCTTTGTTCACTAAAAGTGGCACTGATGTAACAGCTAAAATATTAATATAGCTAGAACTCAAATGCTGCTGATTAATGACAGAATCAGAATTTTTCTCCAAGATGGATTCCATGCTGACCAATAGGAGCATAGAATCTCTTCCACACAGAATTTTCAGACATGGTGTAAATGTCTTTTCAGTGACATCGAGCAACTTGTTATAAGCAAGGCAAGCAGTTGCTTAGGGCCCCAGGAAACCCGAGGGCCCCCAAATAAATAGCTAAAAGTATAAACTATACCTATAACTAACTATATAACTATATATACCTATAATGATACCAATGAACCGCCAACTGCCCTTCCAGATGCAACCCATCTCTGGGGAACATCTGTACACCCTCATTCACACTCATACACTATGGACAATTTAGCCTACCCATGCAATTCACCTGTACCTATTCATGCACCTGTTTGGACTATGGGGGAAAACGGAGCACCCGCAGGAAACCCACGTGAACGCTGGGAGAACATGCAAACTCCACACAAAAATGCCAACTGACCCAGCCGAGGCTCGAACCAGCAACTTTCTTGCTGTGAGGTGACAGCACTATCTACTGAGCCACTGTGTTGCTGACACAAGAATTTAGCTGTCAAAATCATATAATCTTTCACAGTGACTATTGTTACAGTCAAAACCCTGTGTAGAACTGGCCTTATGACTTTTTGTGAAACTGCATTGAAATTATGTGTACTGTCTGTAACATTCATTAATTTTACTTCGGCTTAGTCCCTTATTTATCAGGGGTCACCACAGTGGAATGAACCGCCAACTATGTCCAGCCACAACCCAGTACTGGGTATATATATATATATGCTTAAAATCATATTTAATATCTAATGCAATATTATTTTTAACATTTTATAATGAACTTAGTACTTTAAAAGCATAAACAATTCCATTTATAATACTATAGAGTTCAATGCTGAATACACTAGTCGAGCTGCACTTGTCTTTGCCTTGATATGCTTGATATGCTTAAGTGACAGTATTTGCATTTTAAAAGTATGATTCATTTACAACATTTAATTTCAGTTGCTTTTTTTGTAGCTCAGCAATAAAACAAAAAATAAACAAAAGATTATGTTGAATTCAAAATTCAGAATGACGATTTCTGTCAAAGGTATTCGCCCCAACCGCCAACATTTTCCCTCTCTTTTCACATAGGATGGCGGGCCAAATTAAAGGTTATCGTTGGCCAACTTTTCAATATAAAACATAATATAATAATACAAAATACCTACGTTGACAACTGCTCGGTCTCTAATTTAATTCTGTATCATGGCATTGAAATGCATTTCATTTTTTTCTATGTTACAAGGACAAAAGTTTGAGCACAAGAAATGAGTTGCTGGCTGCAGTTCACTTAGAAGCAGCCACCAGTGTCACTAACAACAAGCGTTTCAGAAGTCTACATACAGCCCCGTTTAACAACAAATTGCATTTAATTCTGTTGCTAAAAATTTGACCAGTACATCTAAATGATGAACTGAGCTCTCGGGAACAACAAGAACAGCCATTCCAGAAACAAATAGAAGGCTTTCAAAAGTCCACATGGAAAAAGGGGCATTAGTCTCACATTCATATGGGACACCAGGGACACAAAGTCCTGCATTATTAGGTTACACCACTACGGAAAACAGGATGGTTTCCTCAAAAAACCCAGCAATGCTCATGGCAGATAAAAGATGTGTCTAAAAGAACACCACAGGAGTGGATTAGTTAAGAGTGGCAGGACTCGCAGGACTCGTAGCGGGTATGAGGTATATTCTCAGTGACAGATATGAAATGCAGGGTAAAGCCCTCGCATGGTGTGCAGGGCATGAGTAATTCTCTTCTATACAATTCTGTTTTCTGCTGTCAGACACACCATCCTCAAACAACAATAAAAAGCTTTTCCTGCAGGCTTTTAATTGTGTTTGTAATATTCCAGGCCTAAATGATGGCCAAAGCCGGAGCCATTAAGACAGGCAGGCGGGAGCCAGGCGACACAGGCACATACAAACTAAATGAATGTTTGATAAAATAATACAAGTCGCAGATTAACAAGCGTAAACTCTGGTTTGCCGCTAATAAAGGAAGTCTATTGTTTGGGGGCTGGCATCAGGTTGATGAGGTGCTCAGGCATGCATACACATGCATAATGAATATGGTATGCATTATTTATGGGCTGATTATTTAGGCTCATCTATCAAAATGATAATGAATTCAGCTTCTTCTAAACACCAATCAGGTCGGAAGCGTAATTACAGCGTTTAGTTGTATTTAACCAAAATAAAACAACAAAGCTTAGCCGGATCAATCTTTATGGATGCCTTGATTTATCGGGATAATATCCAGCAGAGGACACTTATTGCTCTCAAGTCCAGTCTCAGGGAACACATTGGGGATAATGGTATTTCTGTGCTTTAAAGAGCTGAGAGCATCTCAAGCAGTTCCGAGCGTTAACCTTTAATGAGATAGTTAAGCCAAAAATTAAAATTATGTCATCCTTGTGACTTGTATGACTTTCTATTATGGCTTAAGACAATCTACTGTAAGATACATCTAATAAGTTTAATATACTACTTTTATCAAGGTTTCATGATTCTTTTTTGACAAGCCCCTGGTCCTTTTTATTGTATTCTCCATCCAGAGAACAGAAAGTCAGGAAGAATGATCAGCTTACATCTACAACCGTAATTGCTCAAGTCACCGCAGATCAGTCTACAGGAAATTCAAGACAGCAAACAGTCCAAATCCATTTGTCCTTTGTGAGCATGAGTGCTTAAAGTACATTAGATTATTAGTACATCAGATGTACTGTAATGTGTTACACAGACATAATTACTGTTTTTAATGAGTTTTACTGTTTTAAATTTTGTCACATTGGGCTTGCCAAATGCAGGCAACGCGCAAAGTACAGTTTGCTTTTGTATGCACTGCCAGATTTTTGTAATCAGACATGTGCTTTGAATTATTTTTGCACTTCATAGTGTGTCCTTGAACTTGAACTCAGCCAGTTTCACAGTTAGAAAAGAAACAGAGAATATGGAATAAGAAAAACAAACTACTGAAGACAGCAAAACAACAGACCCCCATTTGAGGTTTCCTGAGGAGAGGCAAAAGGGCAAAATTTCAGATTTTTTACATTTTCTCACCAATGTGTGATCCTTGACAAAATTTTATTTGTAAAATTTATAATCAAACTTTTAAAGTTGTACTTTGTTGATCTGTTGACATTATGCCAGTGAATTCCAGAGCTCAACATATCCATGTTACAATGACCATGTTTTCTTAACCACCTTTTTCTCAATTCTGTCATTTGTCTTCTATTTTTTAAACTATTTTATTTACTTATATTTAATAATTTATTACATATTTTTAATAAATTACTTAAATAATAATCATAATAATTGATATCAACTGACCAGCAAAACAACAGACCACCATTTTGACTAAATGACATCTCAAACATTATAGAGCAAAGCTACGCTTGTCATGCACATCTTGTCAGGGAAGCACAGTTGTGTGATCAGTAGTACATTTTCAAGGGAAAGCTTTTACTACTTACATTGATTCAGTGTGGCTAATGATCACACAACTATGGACATTATCTCACATAAGTATTTATTTAAAACTCTCAACTGATTATGACTGATTAGTGGTATTTTCAAAAGGAGCATTTACTACACAGAGCGGTAGTTCACAGAGAGGTGGCACAAACAGCTGTAAATATCACAGAATTATTATCTCGATGTCAATATCGTCAATTTTGAACACAATTTTGTGTAGCTTGTCAGTAAACTATGACTCTGTGTTGTAAATGTGGCTCCTTCCAGCACATGCTGGAGTTTTACTAGAATCAGCTTTACTGACGAAATGCACATGAAATGTTCCTTCAATTACTCATCCAACCATGCTATAAAGCAATTTTAGTGATCCTAACTTATGAAGAGAGAAAGTACAGACAGTGGACAAGGATGAATCAGTGCCTATATGTAGAGGTGGAGTGCCTATATTTGTGCATGGTTTTAAGTGGAGCATACTATGAAAGGCTGTGCATTTCATTATATGTAAGCAACTAATAAAAAAATAAAATAATAAAAAAAAAAATAAATAAATAAAAAAAAACGAAGAATACATCAGGTATAAAATGTGAGGAAATGTTGTTCATGTCCTTTTTTTCTCAGCTGTCCAATCATAATAGCAGGAGTGGGGAAAATTCTACACTGACTAATTGTAACAACATTTTTGTATAACACCTTTAGGTGACTATACAATTGAGGTCCCAACTGAGAAAATGAAAATAAATACATTTTAAATTTATGAATTCTTACAGATTTGGGTTGCCTTCTAGTATGGTGTACAGATGACTTCTTTACAGAGATTTCTCTCACTGAAGGAGGAACCTCCAGTTTACTGGTGCGGCAGTCCAGCGTCCCCCTCGTCATCATGAGCATCAGCTGGGTCATGGCCAACTGGTTACTGTAGCCCAGGTCAAGATCAATAGCCCAAACCTAAAAACATACAAACCAGCACATACAAACAAGGGTCAGGAGATCCAACACATAATTAAAGGCATATTTCAATTACTCAGCCTCCACCTATTCCAAACATATTGAAGTTTCCTTTTTCTGTTCAATACAAAAGTAGAATTTAATGGAAGTCAAAGGCTACCGGTTTCCAATATTTTTCAATATATATATATTTTTTGTGTTCAACGTAAACAAGAAACCCTTGAAAGTTTTGAGTAAATGGTAAGTAAAATGCTAAATTTAGCCAAAGTATCCACCTATTTTCATTGAAAAGTAACATTTAAAACACTCAAAAGAATCCAACAGATTTATAAAATATACAGTTGCAGGAAAAAAGCTCACAGTCAGATCCAGACATTGTGCGTGAGAGAGAGAGAGGGAAAAAGAGAGAGACAGAGAGAGAGAGTTGCACACTGTGTCTAAAGCCCAACTGGAGACTCTCTTCACATCTGTATGGTTAATGGCATCATTATAAGGATATTAAGGGGTCAGGCCCAGTCGTGGCCTTATGCTTAAACAGGGCTAATTTTCCCTGATAATAATCTAATAGCTATGCCCTCTCTTCAAAAAGTGGCGAATAAATCACCAGTGAAAGAGTTGTTAATAACTAAGTGGCAGTTGGCTGACTCTCCTGTCGTCCCTATTTGTCAACCTAAACGCTGCTGCCAGCAAATGCAAATGGTGGCCCGGCTGCTCAAATCACTTTCTGATCACAGTATCATGGTTAATGCTAATGCACTGACACAGTGAACAGAATCATCTTCATAGACCAGTTTTAATTCTACTGCATGCACTAATTAATTACAGTTTATAAAATCAGTATTCTTAGTAATTAGTAGGCCCACATGGAATCTGCGTGCACAGAAGTCCGCAGATTTTTAGACCACCATTGAGTCTATTTATTTACTTGTGCAAACATGTGTAAATTTATATTGATTGAGTTAATATTATTGACTAATATAAAAACATTCATATGATTTATTTACAATACAGCTTGTAAAGTAATATTTTCTGTCTTTTAGTAGATTTTTTATATGAGAGACTTGCTTTGTTTACCAAATACGGGGATCTAATTGGATTTGTATTGTAAACGTTAAATAAAAGTTAAAAAGGTATTATTTTTTAAATTCATATTTTTATATTTATTCAAGTTTTTAGTTATGATATTTAAAAAATCATTAGTAAAAGCCAAATATGTCCGCATTAGGTTTCAATGGTTAACATTATTTGAAGGGTTACCATAAAAAGGTTTATGTTAAATAATGCAATGTTAAAATCAAAATTTCATTTGTTTATATCGTTTAATGAACCTGAGCCAATGCTGTTTTTGTACAATTAAGTAAATATTGTAGCTTTATTATTAGTTATGAAGTTTTTTTTAATAGCTTAATTGGTCATTTATACATTTTAACTTATTATTTTTTTTATCTAGTATTTTTTTTAATCTATAGAGTTAAATTTTTAGTCTTTATTTTAATTCAGTATTGTTTTTGTCGTGAATGCCTTTGACAGAAATCGTCATTCCCAAAGTGTTTTTTCTTTCTTTCTTTTTTTTACTTGTTTTTATTTAGTTTTTAGTTTTATACTTTATAGCCTACAATAATAACTATAATAAGCTTGACCTGCAACATACATTATATCACAATATTTTTGTTTCTGTAAAACTCTTGAAATTCCATTGTGTAGTTCTGTCAATACTACCGGTCAAAAGTTTGGGCTCAATTTTTTTTTCATGTTTTGTTTTTAACAAAAATATTCTGTTCATCAAGGCGCCATTTAGTAAATCTAAAAAGAAAAGAAAAAAAATGTTATTGTTGAAAACTTATTTATTAAATGATTATTAATTACCTATTGTATATTATTGTTTCAAATGAAATTATAACTCCAGTCACTTTGCTTTTATTACTATTACCATTAATAATAATAATAATAATAATAATAATAATAATAATAATAATACAATAATAATAATAATAGTAATATTAATAATAATAATTAATATTAGAGTGATTTCTAAAGTATCATGTGAGTCTGGAAACTGGTAATTCATCAATAAAAACACTGGAATAAATTATTAAATTAATTATAAACTAATTTTTAAAATTAAATTTATAGTGCAATTACATTTCACAATTTTTACTATATTTTTGATTAAATAAATGCAGCCTCAGTGAGCAGGAGAAGCTTATTTAAAACATTCAAAAATCCTTTGGACCCCAAACTTTTGACCGGTTGTATATGTATATGTGTTGATTTTTTCAACACATTTTTAAACATAATAGTTTTAATAAATCATTTCTACTTACTGATTGACAGTAAACTATATTTGACTAGATATTTTTCAAGACACTTCTATACAGCTTACAGTGACATTTAAACGCTTAAGTAGGTTAGGTTAACTAGGCAGGTTAGGGTAATTAGGTAAGTTATTGTATAACGATGGTTTGTTTTGTAGACTATCAAAAAATATATAGATTAAAGGGGCTGATAATTTTGATCCTAAAATGGTTCTTAAAAAAAAATTAAATCTACTTTTATTCTTGCCAAAATAAAACAAATAAGAGTTTCTCCAGAAGAAAAAATTCTATCAGACATACTGTGAAAATTGCTCTGTTAAACATCATTTGGGAAACATTTACAAAAGGAAAGAAATATTGTAAAATACTAACTTATCTTAAAAGCATTCTGTTAAAGGTTGTAATTTAAAAACTATTATAAAGAAAGTAGATTATTATATGTTTTATGCTCTTCTATTTGCTTTATTTCCTTCCTCGTGATAGATATTTTAACTAAACATTTTCTTCTCAGTTTTAGTTTGTAAAAGTAATTTATTTAAAATGTGACTTATCCAAATAACAATTTTAATAACTTTGCAACCAAAAAACCTTTGTTATGGGTTCAAGTAAAGCAATGACCTTTAGAAACAGGTCTCAGGAAGATCTGAGTACAGCTCCAAAATCACCTCTCGCTCATAGTTATTACCTGTGCTTGTGGGAAAGGTGGGACCATTTAGCCAGTCTGTAGAATCAGCCAAGCCTGCTTCATTGTCAACCTTAACAAAAGCGCTTGATATATACGCCCAGATTGTACCTGTCTTCTATAGCCCCTTCACTTTCATTAAAAACTGCAATCTTGCAGCTGAGCCTTCCACCGCACACAATGTGAGGCGAGTCTGCAAGGGCAAACACATGCGACCCGCACCCCCCCACACACATACAAAAAATACAGGCTGCTTTTAGCAACAGGTTTGAATGTAAATTGATGTTTAAATAGAGACAGGTTAGCACTAGTCTGGCAGATCCGTCTGGTTCAGTGCCGGGAGAGATGGGACAGTAATGTTTGGATTTATCTGTCTCGATTCCTTTTGTCGCTATTAATTGTGCATGCAGTTTATTCTCAGTAAGACGTGCCGAATAAAAATCCATCCCGTGCCTCTGTCAATTGACAATATGGAGAATCCCGGTGCTATTCAATCAGAAGAATGTATGAATTACTTTCATTTGCGAGAGTAAAAAAGCCATTCTGTCAGGGGACTATATGAGATTCAAGTGTGAAATTTGCTATGGAGAGAGAGAGAAGTACATTCAACCTCAATGAGTAATTTATCTAAAAAAGCTGCGGCTCTCCGGTTTGTAAAGTCAATCATCTATTTTAAAATCACAGCATGCCAACTGAGTTGATGATTAAAACAGCAGTGTGTGATATTTGTTTGAATATATATATCTGTTCTATAGCATTTCAGTGTTGGTTTACCATTTTAGAGTGCACATGGAGATGTAAAAGTCAACCACACTGTTCAAATTGGCTTTAGATATTACTGTGTTTAGTAAATGTCATGAGCCATTTTTCATCTCAAGCTTATAAACAAAGTTTTGGGTCACACTTAAAAGTCTGTCCATCTCAATGTGAAGAACAACTGAAAGCTCTTTTTATAGTAGTGACAGATGTAGTGAATACAACGCGAGTGTGTTTTGCCACCCTCTAGTGGTTGTTGGAATCGGATGACTACAAGAACAATGACACATTTCAATCTCCAGCCTGCCAGCAAGGATCATTGATAAAAATCACAGAGCTCTAATTAAGTATGCATCATGTTGCCTAGTTATATAATCACTTCTTTGCTCACTTATCATTTGCGATGTGTACAACATTTCCACAGGGGATATCAGCATTGCAGGACTTAATAAATAGACCTAAATTTAGAAACACAAGTTTTGAAAAATGACTGAATCAATATCTAACACGGTGAGGTCAGGGAGGTCAAATCCATATCATTTTTTTCCACATTAGACTCCGATTTATTTTAATGTATGCCCTCCCTTTTCCACCCACAGAGATTTTTCAGTTGTCATGTCTTTTGGCAGAGATGCAAAGCAAACTGTGTTGTCTGAAACGCGAGGAATGCTAGTTAGCCTCCTACTGTTAAGGGCGCCTCTGCACTGTAAAAAATCTTTTGAGGTAACCTTAAAAATGATGAAGCTTCATGAGGTCTAAATTAACATCCAAATTAACTATTTACAACCTTACTACATTAGCTTACAAAGTCCAAAGAAAGGGGTAAAAACTTACATAAAATGCACATTGCACTTAAAAAAGGATGCCTAAAATCAACTTAGTGTAGTGTCTACTCAGTGTCATATGCCCTTTTTTCAAACATACTGATGATATAAATCCAAAATCAAACAAAAGGGGCTACAGGCATAGCTAATGTGTCAGTGCTCTTTGAAAAAGGATTCATAAATCCCAAATATCTGAGGTGCTGTTTTTAAAGAATAGCCATTATTACAAATTGTTATATCCATAAGTATTAATAGTCAAAAAGGGTCATTGAGAGTGTCCAAGTGGCCTTTTTTAAGGAGCGAATAGACAATCCTTTGGATAAACATGCCGAGTAGGCACACAACATCATAAGAACTTAATATTAGGTTAGATTTAGGTCATGACATCAGGTAACCAAAATTCAATGTCTAGCCAGCGTCTAC